AAGATCATGAGCCAAGGAATGCTGGTGGCATCTGGAAGCTGAAAAGGAAACAGATTCTCCTAGAAAGGAACCCAGCTGATCCTTTGATTTTAGCACAGCAAGACCTGTGTCACATTTCTGACCTACAGAACAGCAAGATGATAAACATGGATAGTTTTCAACCTCCAAGTTTGTAGTGATTTGTTATGGTGGCAATCGAAACACAATACAGTTCTTATCATCTCTGCAATAAAAAAAATAACTAACAATGGAACAGAGAAGCTATTCCAAATAGTACAAGTTTAACAGATTTGACAGATTAAACTTATAAAATTGCCTCTACAGTTGCAATAACTAGCAAATATAATGAAAAGTAAGACACCGTTTTCAGCAGTAAAAAGAAAAAAACTATAATTAAACACCCAGGATTAAGTAGACCTTTATGCAGAAAATTTGAAAACTCTAGCAAAGAATACAGACGATGAACTGAGAGAGAAACATTTTATGTTCTTGGATAGGATGATGCAATATCACAAAGATATCAATTCCCCAAATTAGCCTATAAAGTTAATGTATCACAATAAAAATTCCAGTTGAAATGTATGAGAAACTTGACAAGCTTACTCTAAAATAAAAAAAAAGCAAATAAAAGATCACAAAGTTAAATAAATCAAGAAAGATGGAGAAAGAAACTTGCTAAATGAGATATTAAGAAGCCTAGTAATACCACAGTGTGATACTATTTCAAGAAAGACAAATAGAACACAAGAACAGAATAGGAATCTTTAAGATAGAACTTTGGGTAGTTAATGTATGATACAGGCAGTGCCACAAATCAATGAGATAAAATATAAAATGTTTAGTAGATATTGTTGAGAAATCTAGGTTATTCATTAAAGGAAACAAAACAAAACCTGGATCCTGGATTTCTATCCAAATATCATGAGATCTGTGGAAAATAAGAACTCGTATACACTCCCAGCAGGAATATTAATTGATACAACTTTGGAAAATGGTGTGTCATTACTTATTAAAGTCCCACATGTGCAAAACTTAAAACCCAGTCAATCCATTCCTGTAGCATATATGCACAAGTAGACATGGACTAGAATGTCTACAACAACATTGTTGTTAACAGCTAAAAATGGAAACAGTACAGGTAACCATCAATGCTGCTGTTCAGTCTCTAAGTCATGTCTGACTCTTTGAGACCCCATGGACTGCAGCACGCTAGGCTTCCCTGTCCATCACCAACTCCCGGAGCTTACTCAAACTCAGGTCCATTGAGTTGGTGATGCCATCCAGCCATCCCATCCTCTGTCGTCCCCTTCTCCTCCTGCCTTCAGTATTTCCTAGCATCAGTGTCTTTTCAAATGAGTGGGTTCTTCACGTCAGGTGGCCAAAGTATTGGAGTTTCAGCTTCAACATCAGCCCTTCCAATGAATATTCAGTGTTGATTTCCTTTAGGCTTGATCTCCCTGCCATCCAAGGGACTCTCAAGAGTCTTCAGCACCACATTTTGAAAGCATCAATTCTTTGGTGCTCAGCCTTCTTTATGGTCCAATTCTCACATCCATACATGACTACTGGAAAAACCACAGCCTTGACTAGACGGACCTTTGTTGGCGAAGTGATGTCTCTGCTTTGTAACATACTGTCTAGGTCTGTCATAGCTTTTCCTCTAAGGAACAAGTGTCTTTTAATTTTATGGCTGCAGTCACCATCCACAGTGATTTTAGAATCCAAGAAAATAAAATCTGTCACTGTTTCATCTTTTTCCCCATCTATTTATCATGAAGTGATGGGATTGGATACCATGATCTTAGTTTTTTGAATGTTGAATTTTAAGTCAGCGTTTTCACTCTCCTCTTTCACCTTCATCAAAGGGCTCTTTAAGTATAACTAAACCAATGTATATTCTTGTGTTATGTTGGACATATTTCACTGTCTAATAATGGGAAAAGCTTCCTGTTACATAGCATCAACATTGGGAGAATCCTACAGCGTAAGAGTGATAGAAGCAAGTTACAGAATACATATAGTATTAATTATGTTTATATCATATCAATAACAGGAAAAAGTTAAATAATGTATTGATTAGAAATGCAATCATGAACTCAAAAGTATTTAGAAAAGCAAGGGAATTATTGTGACAAACTCAGGGTAGTGGTTACTATCAGGGCAAGGAAGGCAATGAATTGTTTGGGACATTTCTAGGATGCTGGTAATGTTCTATTAAGCTGGATGTTAGTTGCACAGGTATTGCTTTATTGTTATTATTGTTTAAGATGAAATTGGTATATATATTTCTGTATGTATAATGTATTTCACACTAAGTTCAGTTCAGTTCAGTCACTCAGTCATGTCTGATTCTTTGAGACCCCATGGACGGCACACTAGGCCTCCCTGTCCATCACCAACTCCCGGAGCTTACTCAAACTCATGTCCATTGAGTTGGTGATGCCATCCAACCATCTCATCCTCTGTCATCCCCTTCTCCTCCTGCCTTCAGTCTTTCCCAGCATCAGGGTCTTTTCAAATGAGTCGGTTCTTCACATCAGGTGGCCAAAGTATTGGAGTTTCAGCTTCAGTATCAGTCCTTCCAACGAATATTCAGGACTGATTTCTTTTAGGATGGACTAGTTGGATCTCCTTGCAGTCCAAGGGACTCTCAAGAGTCTTCTCCAATACCACAGTTCAAAAGAATCAATTCTTTGGCGCTCAGCTTCCTTTGTAATCCAACTCTCACATCCATACATGACTATTGGAAAAACCACAGCCTTGACTAGATGGACCTTTGTTGGCAAAGTAATGTCTCTGCTTTTTAATATGCTGCCTAGATTGGTCATACCTTATCTTCCAAGGAGCAAGCGTCTTAATTTCATGGCTGCAGTCACCATCTGCAGTGATTCTGGAGCCCAAAGAAATAAAGTCTGTCACTGTTTCCCCATCTATTTCCCATGAAGTGATGGGCCCAAATGCCATGATCTTAGTTTTCTGAATGTTGATTTCAAGCCAACATTTTTACTCTCCTCTTTCACTTTCCTCAAGAGGCCCTTTAGTTCTTATTCACTTTCTGCCATAAGGGTAGTGTCATCTGCATATCTGAGGTTATTGATACTTCTCCCGGCAATCTTGATTCCAGCTTGTGCTTCATCCAGCCTGGCATTTTGCATGATGTACTCTGCATATAAGTTAAATAAGCAGGGTGACAATACACAGCCTTGTCATACTCCTTTCCCAATTTGGAAGCAGTCTGTTGTTCCATGTCTGACTCTAACTGTTGCTTCTTGACCTGCATACAGATTTCTCAGGAGGCAGGGAAGGTGGTCTGGTATTCCCATCTCTTTCAGAATTTTCCACAGTTTGTTGTGATCCACACAGTCAAAGGCTTTGGTGTAGTCAATAAAGCAAAAGTAGATGTTTTTTTGGAACTCTCTTGCTGTTTTGATGATCCAGTGGATGTTGGCATCCACTAGATGCCAGAGATCTCTTCAAGAAGATTAGAGATACCAAGGGACCATTTCATGCAAAGATGAGCACAATAAAGGCCAGAAATGGTATGGACTTAACAGAAGCAGAAGATAAAAAGAGGTGGCAAGAACACACAGAACTATACAAAAAAGATCTTCATGACCCAGATAATCATGATGGTGTGATCACTCACCTAGAGCCAGACATCCTGGAATGTGAAGTTAAGTGGGCCTTAGGAATCATCACTTCAAACAAAGCTAGTGAAGGTGATGGAATTCCCATTGAGCTATTTCAAACCCTAAAAGATGATGCTATGAAAGTGCTGCATTCAATATGCCAGCAAATCTGGGAAACTCAGCAGTGGCCACAGGACTCGAAAAGGTCAGTTTTCATTTCAATCCCCAAAAAAGGAAATACCAAAGAACGCTCAAACTACTGCACAATTGCACTCATCTCACATGCTAGTAAAGTAATTCTCAATATTCTCCAAGCCAGGCTTCAACAGTATGTGAACCACGAACTTCCAGTTGTCAAGGTGGACTTAGAAAAGCAGAGGAACCAGAGATTAAATTTCACCCTAAACATGGTTTTGAAATGATTGGTTTGAGCAAAATCTTAGATTCTTTTAATCTTTGGCAGTCTATGGCTCAGGTGCTTCACAGCTAGATTTATAGGCACTTCACTGACAGTTCAATTTAAAACAATAAACACTGTTGGCACTTCATTGACAGTTCAATTTTAAACAATTTAAAACAATATACTCTGGGATGCATACACAGTGATTAAACACGAATCCTTGAAGGGAAGGTGGATGCAGTAACCAAAAAGTCACAGAATAGGAGATGAGGAAGAGATAGGTGATTTGACTGACAACCCTCTTCTCAGGGAGGAACCAGAGATTTACATGAGAGCTCTTGAGTTCCAGTCTTGGTTATAACTTTGGATTGAACAAGGATCTTCTCCAATTCTGTTTTCTCATGCTGGCTTTGAAAACTATATCGTGAAATTCAAATAAGAAAACGAAAAACCATTATTATTCTTTATAGTTGGAGACGCCACTAGCACAAGTTGCCACGGCCACTCTGGAACTCAGAGCTCTTAAGTCCACCTCCCTGCCCTGCACACTGTAGCTATTCTCTTCCTCCTCTGGCCTTGGGCCCATAGTTTGACGTCACAGACGAACTGCCCCGCCCACCCCGCCTCTTCGGCAGCCCCGCCTCCTCGTGCGGCCCCGCCCCTCCCAGCGTTCGCCAAGCCCTGCCCCCAGCCGCTCGTACTCGAGAGGCGGCTCCGGCGCGTTCCCGCCGGGCTTCTCTTCCGGCCCCGCCCCTCCCGGCTGCTATGACAACGAGTCCGCGCCCCGCGCACCGCTGCTGCTCGGGCGGGACCCAGGCTGGACCGCGGGCCCCGGCCTGGGGGCCACAGCCGTCACCGCCGCCGCCACCTCGTCTCCTCCCCGTTCCCGCCCCGCCCTGCGTCTCCTCGCCTTCCTCGGGTCCGCGGCCGGGATCTGTCCCCGCCGCCCCAACCCCGCCCGGATGCCGAAGGTGAAGGCGCTACAATGCGCCCTGGCGCTGGAGATCCGCTCTGTGAGTACTGGTCTCGCCCCCACCGCCGCCGCCCGGGTGTCGTGAGCCTCGGGAATTTACTCGGGACGCCGCCTCCGTTCTCATCCGAGAACCCCGGTTCACCTAGAAACTTCCTCCACGCTCCGAGTCATCCCTATGGAGCCCTGACCCGGTGTCACTTGGGTCTTCCTCAACCTCAAATATCACGAATGCTCTCCCGCTCCAGCCACACAGAGGTCTGATCCCCACCCCTCAGCTCCCCTAACTTCCTCTCAGCTTCCAGTTCGAGTTTCTTCAAATCTTGTTTAAACCACTTTTGAAAGTCCTGCTCTCCGCGTGCTTTACTTTCCAGTGGATTGGGGTAGGGGTAGGGGTTTCTTTTAAAAATTCCTCTTCTCTGCTTCTGTTCTTTTCGTGAGAGATTATTACTGACCTGAGTTCTCCCCAGTCTTAGGGGGCGGGGGCTGGGGGATGGATTTCTTCTCAAATCAGTGCTGGTGGGTTCCTTCGGACTGGTTAGCAAGCTTTGATTAGTGAAGGGGCCTTTCCTCTCAAATCTTCAAAGTAGAATCTCCACACTCCACAACCGAAGTGTGTCATCATTGCGCGCAGCAGCTTGCCATCTTCCCCGCCCCCCCCCCCCGCACCCCGCCTCCCGCCTCCCCAGGGCCACCCCTCAGAAACCATTTCAGGTTCCTGCAGTCCCCAAACTCTCCCAATGTTGAGAGGGATCCCCTATCCTTCTCTTCACTCCAAGAAAGGCACCAACTTTAAGAGGAAACTACTCATTCTCTCAACTTGCTGGAGACGACCCGCTACCCTATGGAAGAGATGCCAAAGAGGGAGGGTCCTGTCCCCGACCTTGCTGTGGAAATCCAGCTGAGGCAGAGAACTCCCATGTCCTTCCTCAGAGAAAGGCCCTGGACCTCTCCAAGCTCTGAGCAAACACCATCCCTCTAAACAATCTCATGGGACCTTCCAAGGGGTTTTGATCTCCTTCCTCCTCATTCTTTACAGAACCCTCCATTACCCTCTCAAGACGAAAGCCCCAGTTTCTCTCTTGTAGAGGAAATCCACCCAAAAGTCTTTCCATACCTCTGTTTTAGACCTGTAAGCAGTTTGGAAACACAATTCCTCCTCCTTCAGTCTTTTTTTTTTTTCTTTTTCTGTTTCTTTAAGTCCTTTTATTTCTCAGTTCTTTCATCTCCCAGCAAAACGTGTGTGTGTGTGTGTGTGTGTATGGGTGTGTGCTGTGTTTTAATACTTTACATGGCCAGTAACTCCCCTGGGTGCTGCACCAAGTAGGCCTCCCCACTTCCTTCCTTCCTGCACACCCTGCAGTCAAGGCTCCGCCGCCTGCAGCCTCTCTGAAAGCATCCCCTGCTTTCCTGTCTGTCCTTCCTCACATTACAGTGAGGCCAGTGAGGCACAGCCCCTGAAACCTCCAGGGAAATCACAAGACTGTTTTATGTCTTTTGCTGGGTCTTAAAGAAAGAAAGGCTGGGTAGGGCAGAGTGTGAGGCAGGGGTGAAGAACAGAGTTTCTGGTTCTCTTGTTTTATGTTTAAGGCTGCAGAGATTTTACTCCCTGCAATGTCAGAAACTCTGTAGTTTTAGTTTAATCCCACAGCTGCCAGAGTTTGGCAGCCTTTTTGTAAAGGAGGATTCATTTGGCAAAAGAATACCCAAAGCTTCCTGAACCGCTTGGCAGCTAGTAAAACTCTGGAGTTCAGCCTCTCTAGACTTTGTTACTGGCTGCTTCCTCCTCTGCTGACCAATGGAGTTTAGCGGCCTGCCGGGAGCAGCTGCCTGTTGCATCCCTTCCTTGGCCAATCCAGTCTTGCTTAGAGGAAGTATCAGTGCTTTGTGTGGTAACGACTACTGCCTGAAGGGGTTGGAGAGAGAAAAGTTTTTTCTCTCCAGTATTATCAGAGGGAAAGTGAATGACTATACAGTGGAACTTTGTTGTTCATCGTGGCTTAAGAAATTATGCGTGTGGAAACATTCCTGTTTTTTACCAGCAAACATTTGAATCAAGAATTTTACAATTCTAAAAAATCTTTTCATTGGATTATTATTATTACCTTTCTTTTTTTTTACAGATGAGGAAATAGCATGACTATTTTTAGGGGCAGATCTGCAGTAAGAGGCTAAGATTTCTGACCAGCAAAAGCCCCATTAAATTACTCTGATGCTCAGAAGGAGAAAAAAAAATAAAAATAAATAGGTTAAACAAGCTTGATTTGGCTTTGACTGAATAGAGGAGTTATATGAGCAAAGATATTTTTAATGTCTTTTCAATTTCTTTTTTTTTTCCAATTTAATTCAATTCTTTACATTTATGGAGTAAAACTCAAAACTGTATAAAATGATACATTCTGAGAAGTCTCACTTCCAGCCCTATTCAAACATATTTTCCATCTATTTTTACCTGCTATAAGAAACCATTTTGACTGATTCTTCTAGTATTTCCTTTTGTAATATAATCTCAGTAGATAGACACACACACAGTACACTGCCCCTTCCCATATATATTTTTTACTTTCCTTCCTTTCCTTCATGATAGCATGTTACATAAGCTACTCTGCACTTTGCTTTTATACTTTCTATAATGTATCCTGAAGATCACTTAAGATCTAGAAAAGTTGACATTTTCTTTTCCCCCTCAATTTTTTATTGACATTTTTCAAACATAGAGTTGTTGAGAGAATAGTACAATGAATAACTATATCCCATGACCTGTGTTCATTAGTTTGACATATCTGTACATTTGTATATGTATAATAAATTTTTTTTGCTAAAATATGACAGAATTGTTGCCATGAGACTCCTGAATGCTTTAGGATATGTGTTCTAAAAATAAGGACGTTTTTCTACATAACCTCAATGCTATTATCACACCTATGATAATTATTGATGCTTTCTTAGTATCTAGTCCATTTTCAGGTTTTCCTCGTCACAGAAATGACTTGTATAGTTTGCTTTTCCAAACCAGGATCCAGTCAAAGTTTACATGTTGCATTTGGTTGTTAGATTATTTTAGTTCATTTTAATATAAAGCAGTTCTACTTTTTCATTTCCACAATGTCTTTTCTTTTGTGGATTTAGATAGATTTATGCACTTTATGTAACAATTATTCAGATCAAGGTTTAGAACTCTTGCAGCACCCCAGTAAATTCCCTTGTTCCTCCTTTTAAGCCCTGCACAAAGGGAACACTTACTCTGATTTCTGTCACTCACTACTGATTAGTTTGCCAGTACTTGAGCTTCATATTAAATGAGCTATATAGTGTAAAATATTTTCTGTGGGCTTCTCTTGGTCATTGTATTTTTAGACCCATCCATGTTGCTGTGCTTATCAGTAGTTATTCCTTTATAATGTGTAGTAGCTATTATATGGTTATATGGTTATATATGGTATAACCATATATATGGTTATATATATCATATATATATATATGGTTCACACCAGATTTCTGTCATATGGTTCACACCAGATTTTGTTGTACACCACAACATGTTTATGCCTTCTCTTTATGTTGATTATTTGGGTTGTTACCAGGTTGTGACTGTCTTGGATAAAGCTACTATGCACATTCATTCCTGAAAAAGTTTTTTTATGCACATTATGTTAAGGAGACCAGACTCGGATACAGAACATCCCATGTTATTGTCTGATTTTTTTTCCCATTGTGGTGACATTTAATTTTCTCTTCTAAACTGGAAATTAGGTGTTTAATTTCTACTTGCTTATTGAAAATGTGGCACTTCATTTTCTTCTCTCATTTCCATGTTTATTTTTTGTTGCAGTCTTGTATTTGTGGCAATCTCATCTTTGATACTATGATAAAATGAAAGCAAAAATGAGTAAACATGGAAGGTTTTGGTGCATAACACAATATTTTGAGTTGCTCAACAGAACCAAGATTTGAGAGAAAATACATTGCTGGGAAAGAAAGTGTGACTCTTCTCAAGGAACCTTGGGAAAATGATATAATATGCCAAGTAACTCAATTTTAAAGAGCAGCCAAAACTTATATTTCCTATCACTTACACTTTTGATATTTGGAACAAATGTGATATAAAAAAGTATATTTGCTGCTGCTTCTCTCTACCTTCTTCTTATTCAGTAGTGCAGTTTCCATGAGATTTTTTTCTTTAGGAATATAGGCAGAAGAAATTGGAGGTATAAGAGTAAAGCCCAATGCCTGGGCAGTAAAACCAGCCAATTTGCTTTAGCTGAATAGTGTCAGTTTGGGATTAGTCAGTATTATATAATTCCTAATTTTTTCTCCTCTATATTTCCCTCACCTTGTTACCTCACTCAAATCATTGCTGGCATTGAAGTAAAGAGATCTAGGCCCTTTTCTATCACTATTCATCTGACCATCTGTGATGGTTATCTGGTTTCCTTACTTAATTATGCTGCAGTTGGTATTTCCCTGGAATACAGACTTTTTAAAACTTTGCCTATAAAGTACTTCAGACTTACAGAAAAAGAAAAGCTAAATATTGTAATCTTTCCCCACCCTGACTTAATAAATGCCCATTTTACATTTCCTGAAGATTTTTGTTTTTAACAAAATGTTACAGATCTAGTTTATGGCCCTTTTGCACCTTTTTCTGAGTCCAGTTTTCCTACCTCCCTTCCTAGAGGTAACATAATCACTATTCTGAAGTTGGACTGTATTCTTTTCATTCAGGTTTTTTATGTTTGCTACATATTTGTGTATGCCTACACAATCTGTATACTATTGCTCTGTTTTAAAATCTTACACAAATGGTATAACACTGTAGGTTGCTGTTCAGTTACCAAGTCGTGTCCGACTCTTTGCGACCCCATAGACTGCAGGAAATACTGTAGGTGTCCTTCTGTAAATCTGTTTTCCCCTTTCACTGTTTCTAAAATTTGTCACCAAGTGTTGATTCTTGCAAATCTAGTTCATTTCCTTAATTGTTACATTTTGTTGTTGTTGTTGTTGTTTAGTTGCTAAGTCACGCCTGACATTTTTGTGACTCCA